GTGGTTTGTAAATTGACAACCAAGGCTCCCAAGATGTCCTTGTCCTGATGGCTGTGGCGGCAGCCCTGCCATCTCCCTCCCACCATGCTGCAGGCGGCAGGGGCTGGAGGGCCCACGGCCTGCTCAAATTCTACTGACTGGRCTCCTTCTTGGCCAGAGGTATTGCCAGACAGAGGTATTGTGCAAAAACAACAGTGGTTCCTTTGGAATGAGTAAAAGTTTTATTACAAGCTCACAATCATGATTACATGCATTTAGGATACTGATATTTTCCAAGCCAAAATCTTCGAATCATGGAAGAGTATTTTCTACATTGTGTGTTGCTCTCCAAAGAGAAGGACACCTGGGATTGTATAAAGGAAATGGTGCAATGATGATTCAAATCTTTCCCTATGGTCGTGTTCACAGATTAATGGATGGATCCATCACAGGTATGACAGCAGTTATCTGTACTTACCCCCTTGACATGGTTAGAATACATTGAGCATTCCAGATGAAAGAGCAACACACCTACACAGGAATCATTCATGCATTCAAAACAATTTATGCAAAGGTGGTTTCCTTGGAWTTTTACAAAGGCTGTTGCCCACTATATTAGGAATGGCTTCTTTTTTATGCATTACAATTCTTATTACACATATAGAGTACAATTTTCATATCTTTGTATATRGAGTATGTTCCCACCAATTCATGCCTTTATACATGAACTTTTGTATTTTTTTGCACTACAATTCTTATTATACATATATACYACATTTTTCATATCTCTGTTTATATATAAAGTATGCTGTCACCCAATTYGAGTCTTCATACTTGTACTTTGGATGATGATGTCTATCACATTCCACCATCCTTGCTAACCCCTTGCCCACTTCCTTTTCCTCCTATCCCTCTGCCCTATCTAGAGTTCATCTAATCCTCCCATGCTCCCCCTCCCTACCCCACTATGAATCAGCCTCCTTATATCAGAGGAAACATTTGGCATTTGGTTTTTTGGGATTGGCTAACTTCACTTAGCATTRTCTTCTCCAACGCCATCCATTTACCTGCAAATGCCATGATTTTATTCTTTTTTTGTTGCTGAGTAAAAGTCCATTGTGTATATGTGCCACATTTTTTTTTATCCATTCATCCACTGAAGGGCATCTAGGTTGGCTCCACAGTTTAGCTATTGTGAATTGTGCTGCTATAAACATTGACGTGGCTGTTGCATGTGTTTCATTTTTTACTTTTGATTATCTTAAACAGTGTTGGGCTTTCCCATGCTCTTACCCTTCTTAGCAGACCTTCATCAGACAATCCTAAAGTCATGGTGCTGAAAACACATTAACTTACATTGTGCTGGTGTTGCTCTTGCAACAACATAAGCAATATCATACCCATTTGATGTAACTCATCAGAGAATAATAACTAGGAACTATTCCACCAGAATTTGAAAAGCACCTTACCATTCGGGAGTCTATGAACTATGTCTATAGACACCACAGAATTTGAAAAGGATTATATTGTGGTTTATCCCTTAATTTCATTCTGTGTATTCCCTCTCAAGCAGTGGCTTTTACAACATATGAACTTATGAAGCCATTTTTTAACCTCAACTAAAAAAAAATTGTGGTTTGTGGTTTCTTTTCTTTAATAAACTCTCAGAAAAATAAAAACAGAGTGCTACTTTAATACTTGAAAGAGGAAATTTACCTGTCACAGGAACCACTGACATTAGTACATGATTTTTTTTATTCACAAATCAAAAGTACTTTCTGATGCCAAATATTACGCCTTTTGAACATTGAAAAAATATGCCTAAAATGATGATGACTAATTATAATCAGATTGTTGGAGACCATTTTAAAATGTTATTTGGAAGCAGAACTATCTCAAAAYGGAGTTTAAGAGATTGCTATTAGATTTATCATACTGTTTCAAACTTCCTCCTCCTCTTCCTCCTCTTTCTCCTCCTCCTTCTTCTTCTTTTGCAGTGCTGGGGCAAAATCCAGTACSTCACACATGCTAGACAAGAGCTCCATCTCTGAGCCAAATTTCAACACTCCTGTTTAAAGTTTTTGATTGTAATCATAATTTGGGGGGTGGTGCTGAGGATTGAACCTAGGGCCTTGCACACGCTGAGCCTGCACTTAACAACTAAATGATACTCCAAGCCTATAGTCATGATTTTGTAAAGACTCTTAATGTTTTGTTTATATTGTTAAAATAAATGGGTTTGATTTTTTGCAGAAGAACAATGAGAACTGAATTTTAAGTTCTACAAAGTATACCCAGCTTTGAAGTATAATTATTTCTCTTCTCATAATTCTGCTTCATTGGAAAAAAATAATTTTTTCTTCATTTTTTAGTTAAATAAATGTATTTAAAAACAGAGATTTGCTGGGCATGGTGGCACACACCTGTAATACCAGCAGCTTGTGAGGCTGAGGTGGGAGGATCATAAGTTCAAAGCTAGCACCAGCAATTTAGTGAGGCCCTAAGAAACTTAGTGAGAACCTGACTCAAAATAAAAAAATACAAAGGGCTGGGCATGTGGCTCACTGGTTAAGTGCCTCCAAGTTCAATCCTTGGTATCAAAAAAAAGTAGACTCAAGCTGGATATGTTGGCACACACCTGTAATCCCAGTGGCTCCAGAGGGTGAGGCAGGAGGATGGCAAGTTTAGCAACGTAAGGAAAACCCGTCTGGCGAGGCCAGTCTTGGCAACATAAGAAAAATCTATCTCAAAATAGAAAAAAATTAAAAAGGTCTGGGGATGTGGCTCAGTGGTAGAGCAACCCTGGGGTCAATCCCCAGTAGAGAGAGAGAGAGAGAAAGAGAGACTCAAAAAAAAAATGAAGAAGAATCATCAAGTTTTGCTCAAATGTTATGACCAGTACCATGAATGATTTGCATGTTTTTTTAAATTCAGTGTTTCCCAAGGCAGTAATAATAAAACCTGAATATCTTTAGTTTCAAAAAGAGTAGAACTATACATATAATCTTATTAATATCTACTAGAAAATTTATTTAAGTGGACTGTGAACTATCATCAATATAGATGTGAGTATCAAAGAATGTATGTAAAGTATCATGTCGTGAGGATACTTCTTCCATGAAAAGTAGTACAATATAAAGTTAAATAGAAAAATAAGATATGATCTGATCTATGAGACCAACCTAGGTGCCC